AAAATGGCGATTTTCGTAAAGTACTGCGTTCTACAGTTTTGGCGTGAAAACCAAGTCAACAAGCCAGCACAGGCTTACCTCGACCGGGTCCCGCTCGCTCCGTGTATCTTGAAGGCAGAATAAGTCACAACGAAGGGCGTGTATCGACTCCCGCATGCTATCTACTACTGTAGCACTAGCTAGCCCGTGTCGGACTCACCACTAAATAGCCCAGCCCATCAACTCTAGCAGTACCGCACATGCGCAGTTTGCCGAGGGTTTTCATCGAGGTCAGTCTTAGCTACTCTCATATATAATCAAAATGTTCTCTTTGCGCCGACGACAAGTGGAAGGTGCGATACTGGTAATGATACTGGTGACGAGTACTGTGTCAGGATGCAAGGATATCCCTGCAGTGACCTTCAAGAATGCATTACGCGAATCACGCTGCAAGCTCCGACGAAATAACACCGAGGTGGACGCTTTCGAGGCTTACGTGTTCACAAAACATGGAGCACGAACTGGTAAGTTTTGGAGGCTAACGCATCATGGTATGCATGGTAGTTAGCTAGTTTTCTACAGACGCAAGAGCAGCTCAAGTTGTGGTCCCTGGGTATACGTGTCATGCACTGCCACATGTCCGGAAGACTCGCTGCCCACCGGGAATTTCACGTGGTGTATCAACATCGCCTCCCTGGACTACGATGTGGAGACGTGCATAAGACTGGGGGAGGATCAGGTCCCCTATACCAACAGTACATGTGAGGCAGAGTTGGTGGGAATCCCTAATTCCCTCACCCTTCCCTCAGTGAGTTCTTATATGGCGACTATTGCAATATATCATCACAATGTATGGTAGTTAGCTACATGACCATAGGGGTGAGTGTTCCCCCTTTTACTTCTACACAAAACGAAGTTATGAAAGTAGTGCACTGTTATCATCCTTCCCCATAAAACACTTTCAGGCATGTCCATCAATAGGTGAAGTGGGATGCCTTCGTCTAGTCTATGTGGACTGGTTCTACGAAAATGCTCTGCTCACATGCACTTTAGAGACAGAAAACTGCACCTCTACATCTTTTTCATCTCTTTTAACTACAGGTGAGCAAAATTAGGACAATAGCTGCATCAATCACAATGGCTGTGTGATTATTTCCTTGTTCAAATTCTTAGGTATAGATTTTAGTCCTCATATCGAGAACTTTACCACATCTCCTGTCAGTGTTCCCTATGGTGGCAGAGTAATACTTTATGCAGAGGTCAATGATTCCTTTGACTACTCTGTTAGTATAGCATGGCAGCATGGGGATAATGTTTACAGCAATTTCATCAATGAAGATCCATACTGTGTAACAGAAATTGAGGTATGAGTTAAAGCACTGATGAGTGGGTCTTTAAAATGATCTTTGCTCTACCCCAGCAATGCAATGTTGATAGACGTTCAATGGCAGCTAGGCTGAAGGAGGAAAGGATAATGGCATACCGATACCCACCATGGGATGTTTTTGATGTGTGCATGTACGGTACGAAAAGCTACCTCATTGTTGACAATGTTACATTGGATGACGGTGGAGAGTACATTTTCAGCATGGCTGTCACTAACAATGCTAACCCCAGTGCGCCTGACACCACAACGAGCACCATTCATGTTAGCATTGGTATGTAAGTCTTGTTTGTATGTAAAAAAAGGTTATTAAAGTAGGTACTTTTCTTCCAACACTACAGAACAAACAACTACTACTGATGTTTCTGGTAGTAATAGTACCACAGCTGGTGGGGGTAAGAATGCACTGCATTGTGCTCTGACATAAATTTTATAATTGTGCGAGAGCTCAGCAACACCCAAAACACGAAAAGCTCTCCTGGGTAACTAGAAGTAGAACGCACAGAACTCGGTATTCTATATAGGTAGAGCACTCTTCCTGGACTTAGCTATCAAGATAACTCCAGTGTATAGGGTGCTGTGATGCTATAAAACATAGGTATTTTTTCTTCCTGTAGGGACACCAAAGAGTGAATGTATAGAGGGAGTCACTGCTCTTCTAATGGGATATCTCCGTCTGCTGCTGGGGCCATTGCTGTGGTTACAGTGGTGGTTGTTGTGACACTCTCAGTACTTTCAGTTGCATTTCTCTATGTCAGGAAAAAGAGGAAAGGATTTGTTTTCTGCCCGAGAGTTTTTAAAACACAAAGTTTCCCAAGTGTTACTTTTGATGCTACCATTCCCAGAAATAGAAGGCAGGTTAATGCACATCGGAGACTAAGAGGTAACACTAACAAGCCACAGACGCATAAATGTGTCAAGAGCCTCCATAAGTCCTTAAGAATTAATATGGGGTTATAGTACTAGGCGCTATTACTATTTTTTCTGCTATATAATGCTAATTCAATGGAAAATCTTCACTAATCTCTGTAGAGAGGATTCTCCCAGAACCTCCCCCTCCACCAGAACCACCGAATCTTCTCCAGCAATTGAGAGAGCAGCTGACACAACGGAACATGCTGTTCTCGAAGCACCACGTGCAGCTGAGTAGAATAATTGGCGAAGGTGAGTGATTGGAATGTGTTGTTTATCGTTTTAGAAATAAGACTCGACTTTGAATCTCAGGAGAATCAGGGCTGGTTTATCGTGGTTATATAAGCAGTGGTCAACCTGTTGCCATCAAGGTTGGGAAAAGTAAGGAAAACTGTTTTACTCTGCATGCATTCAATGGCATGGCTCTTTGATAATACTCAAGAAACGAATGCAATCTTGTTTTTACTTGCTTTTGGTTTTGAACAATTCAATGCATTTTGACATTATTTGGTACATGTGTAACCAGCACTGCATACGTCAAGCTTACTGGATCAGCCTCTTCTGTTGTGTATTCAAGCCTGCCTGCTCTAAGCCACCCTGGTGTAGCTCAGTTGGTATAATTAGAGAAACACTGTGTAGTGTACTGCAGAGTGTAGTAGGTTAGAATCCCAGCCACGACAACCCTTTTTTGGAACTAAGGAAAGTGCTGTTTTGTCCGTCATTGCCTTGCAACTCTTTTACATGGTGAATAGTGAACTGTGAACATGAAAATAATATGTGATGGCAGCTCTAGCTTCTGTGTTATAACGTGTTGCATTACTTTGTTCCACCCAGTCTTGGCATCAGAAAATGATAAGGAGAAGCTTCTGAGAGAGGTTTCTATAATGTTGCCTCTTAATCATCCCAATGTGATGTCACTGATTGGACTGTGTTTTGATGGAGAGGTGCCCCTGGTCATTATGCCCTACATGTCAGATGGCAGTGTATTGGATTACGTCCAGGAGAATAGAGAAACCCTCTTTTTCACTGACCATCCTTTGGATGAAAATGTAAACTTTAAAGTTTAGACTAATGACTGTTGAACCTTTTGCTTACATAAGTTTTTGCAGCACAAAGGAAGTGTCTCGATATGTGTCACCAGATTGCAAAGGGCATGAGCTACCTGGCCATGCAGATGTTTGTTCATCGTGACCTGGCAGCCAGAAACTGCATGTGAGTCCATAACACAAACTCGTATGTACAATGAGCCACACACTCTTTCCAAACACTGTGACTTGACAGGAAAGGTATGCTGTTAGTATGTTGCATAATAATACACTTTGTTTATACATAGCACAGTTACTTTCAGCATGTTTTGTGTGAATGTAAGTAAGTTTACTTTCCAGTGGTACATGACTGTGTTAGCTATATTCACATAAAGCATGTGTAAAAGGAATGTGCATAGTGTGTGACACTTTCAATGATCCAGCACTCCCAAAACCTTTCTGCACACAGAACAGTATTACAGTGTTCACTGTTCACCACAACAATTCTCCACATTATGCGTCAAATAAGATGGGTTTAGCTAGAAACCACTAACATCTAGAGCTATACAAAACATGCATCTAGACTTCAAAATGCTTTATATGTATAACGGGATATATCTCTGTGTGCAAGCATTATTCATGCAAAAAATTTGCCACATAATAAAACATTTTTCGTAGTTTACTCATGCGTTAACAGTTTACTCGTGGATAGAACTAAGGACAAATAAAGAATTGCTGCAATACTTTTACCTATACAGAGAGCTTTTTTCAATGTACTTTGGCAAGGTTTTGCCGACAATGACTACGTGGTGACAAGTGTTTGTCATTGACCAATGTAGTGTGTAAAATAGGTTGATGCATGGCTACTGGATTTTCTGAATTAAAGACACGCTCTTTGCTACAAATTTTCCTTTTGATGTGTGGCTTAAAGTGCTCCAATACGAGGAACGCTGTCTATGCAAACAACTTGGTAGCTCACATCAGTGCATCTGCTGTAAGATTTTCACCAATTGGTTTTCATAATGACAGGATCGATGGACTGGCAAATGGAGTGATAAAAGTGGCAGATTTCGGGCTGGCAGAGGATATGTATGGCACCAACTACTACCGTCGCGGTAGGAGTGAGGGTGGGGAAAGGGTCCCCATACGGTGGATGGCCCCCGAGAGCATTGAGATGAACATCTATAACGAGAGCACTGATGTGGTAAGCTACAGAGCACGGAATATAATTATAGCTAACTTTAAGAAGTCAGCTATAGCTCTTAACATCACTGTTTTGTGTCTTCTCAAAACTCTGTCTGTGATTGTATATAATAGTTTTCAAACTGTGATAAATTATATATATTCTATTGCTGCATCAGATAATTGCATATACCTGCTGGTATATCTCAAAAATGGCCATATCGATACTTTAAAGTAGCTAGTACTATCTCTTATCTGTCTCCAAACTGTGAATTTTCCTACAGTGGTCATATGGAGTGACGTGTTGGGAGGTGTTGACATGTGGAGGAGTGCCCTATGCTGGTGTCCCAGCCATGACTCTGCTGACTGAGCTTCGATTAGGACACAGACTTGAGAGACCCACCAATTTGGTCTGCTCTGATGGGATGTGAGTACCACAGGCACAGGAAATGTTTTGACTGGTGGTGGGGACACATTTCTCGGTCATTGCCCAGCGAGTATATGCGTAGCTAGGTGTGTGAAAACTTCATGAATCAGGGGGTGTAAATAATTCAGTGGTACTTAGGACTACACTTTCTTCAAAGAATAATATAGAGCCTAGGTGGGACTCGCATGCATGCACAAGAAGAACTCTAACACTACTGCTAGGTCTGCAATAGTCTTCTGTACGGAGAGAATTACATCATTTTTATTTCGTCAGTTGTAGTCATGTTCCCTGGCATGTGTGCACAAATTATTGGGGGTCTACAGTCCCCTTCTATATACCCCGTCATCACTCTTACACCTATTAGTTCAGTGTAGGGCATAATAGCTTGACTCATTCTTCTATTTTGTGACAATGAAGTGGGAAGGCTCTATAATAGCAGACATCACATCCTCTAATACACATTTAGTGTTAATTTTTTGTGAATGGCACTACTCTGCATGCTGCCGTCTCAGAATACAGTATAAGTACGTGTGCCTGTGTTCAACCTCCACAGATGGCAAGTCATGGAACGGTGTTGGTTGGAAGATCATCGACAGAGACCAAAGTTCAGTGATCTTGTCAACCAGTTGTTTGACCTCCTGGACGCAGATACTGCTTACTTAAGACTCTGAGACATTTCCATAGCTAGCTCCTCCGTGTGTTTATATATGCCATTAGCTTTTAATAGTTCATATCTATAATAGCTAACTATCACTTAAATGAAGGAGATTATGACTAGTTAGCTAATCCTTCTGAACTCTTTCAGAATCTGGACCAATCACAACAAACTGAGACATACCTCGTTAAGTCATGTGGCAAAAATGTATAGTGTTCTATAGGGCTAGGCTCCGAGGGTGTGTTTGTACTATCCAGCATTTCATACTAAGTGTGTTCTTTACAAGTGGAAAATCATTTCTTCACAATGAAGGGGGATGTAGGGATGGCATAAATTATGAAAATGGATACCAACAGGACCTTCTTTATAATGAGATTCCACTGTAGTCTTTATCTCTATCGTTGGGTTTACCTAGCTCCCTGCTCTGGAGACCATCTCCTATATACCATAACAATGAGACGATTCATGATAACCTCAGAGGAGATGACGAATGCTGAGCCAAGGAAAATAGTTTTTATCAGACGAGCTTACAAACAGTAGTCCTCGCTGCACATGCGCATCAAAATTTAATTACCAAGATGAATGTTTTACATTTTTGTCACTGGTTGTGCAGAAGGATTAGTTGCATGCTGTGGCTCAGACTCAGTCCTAGTGTTTCTGGGAGCAAGGTCTTTATAGAGGACTGCAAGAGCCACGAGTGCAATCAAGAAGGTTGCCATCGTGATTATCAGTGGGAGGAATGTGTGCTTGCCCGTCTGCTCATAGCTTTCAACATCTGCATTCAAAATCATAAGGCAATGCATAACATAGTGTTTCTATATATAGCCTTTACCCAACTTTTTGCTGAACAAAGTAGCAAATGGGCAATATCTAGATTGGTGCCATTATTATTATCGGGCACAGAACTGTTTTGCACGATGGCGATATAGCATTAATTTGCACAAAACAAGTTATTAGCTAATCCGGTTAGCTAGCTACTGTACAATAGCCTGTTTCATGTAAAACTTACACCAGAGTGGTGTCACTGCTCTAGACAGAGCTCCACATCCTATAGTGAAGGCTGTGATACTTCCCTGGAAATAGAAATGATTACTGACATCATAACAATCATTACTTGAAGAAATCCCATGCATTTTTGGCGAGCGAAGTGGGTGTTTAGTGAATCACATTCAACACCACGGTATGTCCAGTGCCCGATGTTACATAGCTATATACATAAAATCCTGCATTCAGACGGAACACGCTTCGCTAGCCAAAGAGTGATTAAGAGTTTACCTGATTTTCCGGAGGAATTATGTCTGACAAGAGTGCGAAATTGAAGATGTACTCCAGAGTTCCTCCAACAGATACTAGAAACACGCCGACAGTGTACTGGTAGAAGGTGAGAGACGTCTGGAGGCTGAGGCAACCTTGATAGCAAGTGTTACACTGATCTCCAGTCACACGAGAATGAGGATTCCAGAAACACTCGTACCCAGAGGTACTCCTAGCCTCACAGTTCTCTACTAACAACTGGAATATAGTCACATTCGACTCATTCGTGTTGCCGTCTATAAAGCTAGCTTCCCCAGTATCACTGGTTGTTACATTGTTCATTAGAGATGAAAAATTACAGGGGTCTTCCACATTAATTGCTTGCCAGTCAGTCATCACTGAACATCCAATCACAATCACCACAAACACCAGCCCCACCATCACTCTGTTGTTGCACCTCAGGGCTTTTGCAGAAAACCTTGGAAGAAAATTATAACACACAATCGTACTAAACAGAAATTGCTATTCCTATACTAGTTTGTCATTCCACATAACATAAGTGTAGCTGAGCCTGGGCTTGCCAAACCTTTGCTGTAATACTGCATATTATACAAGTGGAAAAATCATTTCTTCAAAGTGAAAGGGGGATATAGGGATGGCTTAAAGCATCAAAAAGGAAGAAACAAGGGGTCATTACACAGCAAAGTTGCACAAAGCTACATGACACCAT